TATGGGATGGGGGTGGGGAACCTGTCGGGGCAGCTGTTGAAGTGCTGCGCCTGTGGAGCATCCTCCTGGGGATGTGAGCACCAGGGACCTTTCAGGGTTCCTTCCCTCCACGTTCTTTCTGCTATAAACAACATTGCTATGAACAGTGTTCTTGTTAACAAAGCCTGATGGCTCCTTGACAGTTTTCTCACATCCCTGACATAGTAAGAGACTTTTTTGGTGATATTGCACTGAATTATTGAGTTTGTCTCTTCTTGTCACCAAACCTTTCAAAGTGAAACCTATTTACCCTGACTTCATTCCCTCCCCTTTTCCCATTATTTATTTTATACCATGCTGGGCACTAACGATGAAAAATAATAATAATTCTCTACCTTAGAATTTCAGGCTAGAAGGGGAATCAAACATGAAGACAAAAATACTATGTTGACATGATGGTAGAGGAAAGAAGCATAAGATGCCATGAATGCCAGAAAGGAGACACCTGAGGGCCAGAGGCTTTTTCCCTGAAGTGAATTTCTGGGCTCACTCCTCTTCTGCCATGATTTTAGGATCTTTTGACCTTCATTCTAATCATCTGCTTCCAGCATTAAAAAGCCAGAGACACGCCTTTTGTTGGTTCATTAGTGGCTGGTATCTCACCATCATTTAGGTGAAACCTTTTCTTGCTTTGTTTTTGCTTTTAATTTGGGAGGGGTGAGTGCCGTCAGTGTCTGGGATGCACCTTGCCCATAGCTCCTCCAAATAATGGGTCTGTGGACCTGAGGTACTCATGGGCCCCTCAAGGCCACACACAACCAGACCCAAAGGGCTGCATCTTTTTCTGGTCTCCTGACCTACTCTGGAAGTATCATTATCTTCCCCACAACCCCATAGTTTAGGAGAGAAAAAATGAGGGTACTACTCATTGAGATAGAAATCCAAGAAGAAATGCGGTTATTTCTGTTTAGATCTCTGGCTTTTAGCAGGAGGAGGAAAGGGCGGAATCATGAATTTGGTTGTAGACACAATAAATTGAGATGACTCTGGGACACTTAAGGAGAGATGCACATGTGGGCCTGGAGTTTCAAGGGAGGCGGTTGGAGCCAGAGATGATGCTGTGAGAGTTACTAGCATAGAGATGAAGTCTGGGCAGTGGGGGTAGTGTAGGAAGAATGTAGACCAAGTCCCAAAACTGACAGTTTAAAAGTTAAGCCTTCCTGCAGTCATGCTTTGTGTGGCCAGCACAGTGTTTTAAAATAATGTGAATCCTGTTAGGCAATGTGTGGCTCTAGCTTGCTGTAATCCCACCAATTGTTGTTGTCTTACCTCTGGCCCAATTCACATATATACAGTACTTTCTTGGCTCTTGAAGGATTTGAGTTGGTAAATTTTGTAAGAAGAAAATGGAGTAGCAACAAAGAAGGAGTGATTAGGAAGGAGAAATGATGGAGTAAAGTGGGAAAGAATGGGCAGAGCCTGTGGAAAATCAGGAGAGAATGAAATTTTATTCTTTCTGAAAGAATGGAAGGCAACATAGTCAGTCTTATAATAAAATATTAAATGTGGGTTTCATTTGATCTAACAATCTACTTATACATGTTTAACATAAGTAATAATCATATCTATATATAATTATTAATTATAATATGCCTTATAATAGCAAAAAAATTGCAAACAGCGGGTCTCCCAGCCAAGAATGATTAATATAATGTGTCCAAATGATAAAATAGTATATAATCATGAAAAATGATGTTGTCAGACCATATTTATTGACATGACTCTACATTTATAGTTAAACTTTTTAAAAGTTATGGAACAGGTCATATAAGATAAATCCATTTATGTTAAATGCCTGTTTATGGAAGGAAAAGTCTGGAAGCCCTCACATATAAATCCTAAGAACCACCCAAGAGCTAAATCCAGTAGACTTTTATGTGTCTTTGACCTCTCTTGGCTTTTGACATTATTGGCCTTTCTTGGCTTCCTGTTCCTTGTCTTCTTTTCCATCCTAGTCCCATAGACTGGCACTTGGGACTGAAAAATGGCAGACTCAGTCCTGGGAGAACCCTTGAAACCAGCAGCCTGTTTACATCCTGTGCAAAACCAAAACAGGGCACTTACTGGACTATTTTTCCTGGGAAGAAGTAGTCACGGATCATATTTCCCTGGCTCTTTGAGTCTACATAACTCTTCTGGAATAAAACCCTTCCCAGGGTCTGTGGGTACAAGTCCCCTCTCCTTGCCCACCCTCTAGCAGAGTCGCCTGGCTGTCCCCCTCTCTCCCACGCCTTCTCTTCAATCAAGGAGTTATTTTTAACAGAGTTGTGTATACCATGCTTGAATCCTGGCAAAACACCAGAGCTTTGGAGTAGACACTCAAGATGGAAATAGTCTCCCACAACCTCCCCCTTCCCAGAGCTTTTCCTTTTAAAGAGAGAAAACAACTTATCCAAACTGTAGACACCCCTACCAGAAAGTTCCTGGACACTAGCACTGAGTGACTATCTCCATGGCCTAGACCATGAAGTTGAGGCTGGACCTGCTGCCACTTTGGGCCTGTCTTCAGCCCAGGGTGAGCCCAAGGACAGGATGACTCCAACCACTTCCTGGGATTGGTAGGTCTAGAGGCCCTGTGTCCCAGAATTATGGCGGTTACCTAGTCCATCCCCCTTCCCAGTAGTTGGGCACTGGACCTACAGAAGTAGCCCATCTATTTTGAGATTATTATTACTGAGTAACTGGAGAGTTTTTAAAGTGCCAAGTCCTGCTTTTCTGTAACTTTTCTCTGTGCTTTTTGCTGTGCGTGCCAGAGCCACACAGAGCAAATACTCTTCCACATGAGCTGTCCAGGGATTTGAAGCTGGTGGTTGTGTGACCCAAGTCTCTAGCCAGGCATCTTTGCTGTCATGAGGTATCATTTCCTCCCTAACTCAGTGGTCCCTTCTCTGGGTCAATTCTGTTGTATTATTGTTCCCTTTAGAAGATACCCAGAATAGAACATGTGCTTGCTCTGGGGTGTTCTGACAGAGAAGATAGAAGAAATATTTCCCCATTTCTGGTGCTCCTCATAATGACTGACACTCAAAAGACACTACTTTTATAGTTGTCCTGTCACACTGACTGTAAGAATTTCTTGACATACTGCTGCTAAGCCCCATCCCTGTCCTGCTTGGCATGTGTGATGGACTCCAGGGCCTTGACCAAGCCTGGCTAGGTGGCTCTGCTCTGGAGCCACATCCATGTGTGAGAGGAATGGAGGGTATTTGTAAGGGATGCTGTGGAGAATGGAAGAGATTGCTTTCAGGGACAACCCCAAAGACTGCCAATGCCAAGCAGCAGAGCAGGCAAGAGAAGACCATGAGTCTGTTGTGACGGCAGTCTGTGTGCCTATGTAGGTTGTGTCCAGCAAGGTTAGTCATCCAAGTATAGGGACAGAGATTCTCCAGACCAGAAATCTTAGTCAGATTGATTGTGCTTCTAGGGGATTCTTGTATGGGAAACAGCCTCTGTTCCTAAAGTGAGGAGAAAGGTGCTAGGGGCTAGAATTGGAACAGGACTCAGTTCTTTCCAGAAGGGTGCAGCCATGACCAGAGTGCATCAGCCAGGTGAGCATCTGACCAGGGATAGTTGTTCCCAAGACCCTCCCTATACGTGGGGACAGTAGCAGCCTCTGGTGAGTGGAGCCCTCAGGCCTCTTTGGAACAAGGTGGCCAGTATACATGGCAGGCAGAGAACTCTGGAGAAAGGGGTTGGGGTACAGCCAGGCAGTGTTGCTATGTAAACCTTTGCTGTGGGTGGGATTATAAGGACAACAGTTCCTGAGCCTTTGGCTCAAAGATCTGTTGTGAGGACAAGACTTTTGGAGCCTCCAGATTCCTGAGTTAGAGCAAAGTGGCTCACACCTACCCATAGAGATGGATGTGTGGAGCAGTACAAGCCTGCCTGTGGCTGAGGAAGTTCCACTAGGGCCTCTGGTGAGGCGGTTCCTCCATCAGCCCTGCCGCTGACCTGGCACTCCCTGAGGGAGAAGGAGGGCATGGCTGATACCAAAACTGGGAGGGGAGGAAGGGAGGTGAAGGAAGCTGACAGTTATTGAGCAACACGGTGTGCCAAGAACTTCCCATGCTTTATCTCAGTGCATCTTCACAATAATCCAGGAGGCAGGAGGCGTTCTTAGCCCTTTACAGTCATTCATTCAACAGGTGTTCAGCGAACAACACCTGTTAAGTGACAGGTTCTGCTTGAGGTACTGGTGGGAGAGCAGTGAGTGACAAATGTCCCTGCCTTCATGGAGCTCATGCTCTAGTGCAGAAGCAGGCAAAGGAGCAAGATAGAAAAGAAAACTGCAGAAGAGGGAAGACTAGAGAAAAATACAAAGGAATGGGGACTTGCTTGTCTCCGCGACCCTTTACTCTACCTGGATTGGCAGTGCCGGGTCTTGGGGAGGTGTCGTGTGCCTAGAATGACCTGTACAAGCCTCCCGTCCTCCTCCCAGTGGGTTGACTGGATAGTCCTGATTACAGCAGGATATAGAGGAGCTTGGGGGTCACTTAGTGTTTCAGCCCATAGTTTATGGCTGTGACAGGCCACTGTCCTGTGTACAGGGCCCATTCTTGTGACTGTTCATTCATTGCTTACAATATTCTAGGTGCTCTTCTAGGTACTCGGCATGTGGTGTTAAAGGCATGTGACTGGGGGTGTAGTTTAGTGGCAGAGCACGTGCTTAGCATACATGAGGTCCTGGGTCCCATTCCTGGCACTGAGAGAGAGAGAGAGAGAGAGAGAAAGACTCTCATGAGTGAAATATAGGGCTTTTGTGTTTGGATATGTGGGGCTGGGGTGTTTGTAGAGGTGAGGAAAGCGGAAGTGGGGAGTGCTGGCATCTGTGTTTGTGCCAGGGATGGAATTCTTTTTTTTTTTTTTTAGTTGTAGATGGACACAATATCTCTTTTTATTTATTTATTTTTATTTTTTAGATGTTGATAGGCCTTTATTTTGTTCATTTTATTTCTATGTGGTGCTGAGAGTCGAACCCAGTGCCTCACATGTGCTAGACAAGTGCTCCACCACTGAGCCCCAGCCCAGCACCTGGAATTCTTAAGGCAGTTTCCCGTGTGCACCTGGACAGTAGATCTGTGGCAGGTGAGGTTTTCAGCTATTGTTAGCTTGGCCCATTCTATTTGACACTTGGTGCTTGGCAAGAGAAAAATTCTATGCCTGCAACCTCACACAAAGTCCCTAAAGTTAGGAACAGTGCTGGAGTACCTGGACTGCAGAGAGCAGCTAGAGTACTTTCCTATGGAAGAGACCCCAGCTGAAGCCAAAGGGGGCCTGCATGGGAAATCCCAAGAACAGTCTGCATTAATGCATTGCCAACCTGGGGCAGTGACACAGAGCGTGATGTGATTCCAGCCTAGTGGGTGCAGGGATTCCTTACTTCCCTGGCCAGCACAGGGGGCACACCCCTCCTACTTTCATTCAGGGAGACACAACTAGGCCACAGTGAATGCCCTTGAGGCAGCAAACAGCCAGATAGGTCGCCCCTTTACTCTGTGACTTGAGTGCTCTTCAGGGGAAAGAAGAGAAGAGGGATAGGTTTAGGGGAAGCTAATGGGCTCCTTGTTTCTACTCTGGTGAACCTGGGCACCAGTGGGCTATCTTGGACAAGATGCTCAGGTGAAGTTGGCTATATAAGTCTTGAGTGCAGGACTTGGGGTCTAGATTTGGGATGGAGATTTAGCAGCCACCAGTTGGGTACATGCATCTAGATGTCTGGGATTTGAACCCTCTGGTGACAGTCACAGTTTTCAATCTTTTCTCCATCTTCTTCCTCGAACTGCAGGCAGTGAGAGTAGACAGGGGTCAGCAATGACTGCCCTTGTGCCCCTCCTGGGTAGAAAGTCTCATCTGACAAGGTGGCTTCTGCTTATTCACTGTTGTGTTGTCTCATTTCTGAGCAGAGAGGGAAAAGAGAAAAGAGAAAAAAATAAATAACACAACTGAAACCTTCCCTTTCTCCAGGAACCCCATGTATACAGCTCAGAAAGTAACATCCATGTGTTAGGCTCCTGTAGCAGGTTCTTCTTCTTCTGATTCTAAAGACCAGAAGTCCAAAATCAGTATCCCTGGGCTAAATCAGTTCAGCAGGACTGTGCCTCCACCCCACCCCATGCTCTAGAGGATTAGCCATCTCTCAACTTCTGCAGCTTCTCCAGTGGGGCCGGTATCCCTTGTCCTATGGCCATGTTACTCCACTCTTGGCCACTGCAGCCTTGTCACCTTTCCTTCTTTGTATGGTAAAGCCTCCTGCTGTCTGTCCCTTCTCAGCACGCTTGTGGGTGCACTTAGGGCCCACCCAAGTAATCCAGGAGAACCTCCTTATCTCATGGCCACAGAAGTTTGGATTCTACCAGAAAAAAAACAGGGACAATAAGCAACTAATCAGTAAATTATAAATTAGGTCAAGATAAATACTATGGGGGAAAAGAAAGTATGTCCAGGTGACCAAAGCAGATTGGAGTGGTGAATAGGCTGGTCAGGGCATATCCCTGCTGAACTGATTTAGCCCAGAGAATGACTGAAGTCTTAATAAAGGTGGGACATAGGGAGGGAGAGAGCCAGTGAATATCTGGAGGAAGAGCATTCCAAGCTGAAGAAACAGCTGGAGGTAGAGTGTAGATATTGGAGTGGAGCAGGAGAGAGTAGTGCAAGAAGAGATCAGAGAAGACCGAGGCCTGCAAGCCATTGCGAGGACTCTGGAGGACCCAGGAGACATTGCACATGTGGACAGATTGATTTTTGATGGAAGAATAGGTACTTTCTCAGATTTATCAAGAGGGAAAGAGGAGGACGTGGAGCAGATAGAGATGGTTTTGTAGATTGGGAGGAGACAGGTCTCTGGTCTCATTTAATAAATACTCATCTAGCACCTACTATGCCAGACACAGTCCTATGTGCTGGGGTCCATAGCAGGGAACAAAATAGGCGGCTCCCTGTTCACACAGGGTTTATGTTTTTCATATAATAATAAACAAGTATACATAGGAGAGCTTAAGCAATGAACAGGATAAGTTTATGTAGTGATAAATGCTTGTGAGAAAAATAAAGACAGTGATGTAATGGAGAGTGACTGGAGGAAGAAGCCCACTTAGATGGAAGAGTCAAAGAAGGCCTCTCTGAGAAGACATTTGAACAGAGGGCCAAATGCAAACAAAGAGCCAGCCTTAGGAAAGAGCCAGACACACACAAGAAAAGTTTGTTGTATTTCAGGGTAGACAGAATGGTAGCAGATAAGGGAGGAGAACGTGAGAGGTAGGTGGGGACAAGACCCTGTAGCCTGTGGTTGGTTTTATTCAGATGCAGCAGGAAAGTTCTAGTCAGAGGAATGGTGTGATGTGGTTGTTGATTTAGGAGTGTCATTCTGACCAGAGAGATGGGCAAGAACTGTCCATTGACAACTACAGGAGCCAAGAAGTCACAAATTGAACTTGGACAGTAGCAGATGGAGAGAGGTAAGTGGGTGAATTTAGAATGTTTAGCAGTTGTACCAACAGGACTTGCTGATGAAAGGCAGCCAAGAAAAAGAGATGAATCTAGAGTGACTTCAAGGGATACCATCCAGTTGGCAAGAGAGAGATTCATTTGTAAAATTGTTATTTCTCTTTGTGGAATGTGAGGATCTGGGCAACTGAGAGTAAAAAAGAAAAAAGAATGGCTCCTAGGACTGGGCTCGATCCGCTGCATTAGCCCAGCATTGCCTTCCTCTGCCTTAGCCAGAACCCTTGTGCCTGTGCCATGGTCCTATGAACCGCTGATATTTCCTCCCTGTCCATCCTTCCAGCAAACCTGCTGCAGGAGTGCCCACACTCAGTTTGAATCCTTCTAACATCTTTCTCTGCATGTGTTTCCGGGCTGCTTGGGATGACCCCTAGTGATACACTACTGTGGCTTCATGGTCCCCAACTGTGGACTGCTCCTGCTCCTGTCCTGGTTGACTTGCCATGGGACTGTTCCAGTCCTTTCCATCCATAGATCACTGCAGTCCACACCCTGCCCCACACTCCCCAAATCCCCAACCCTAGCAGTGTGCCAGAGAACACCCTCCTTGCTGCTTCCAGGGAAAAGGTGTCCTGCCCCTGTGTGCCTCCCCTCCTCTTTCTCCTGCACCCCCCTCCCTTCTCTGCTGGTCTCCTTCCTGTTGATACAGACATGCGCTGTACTTCCCCACCCACTTTCCTCTCCAGCCTCCATTCCATCTCTGCCCTCTCCCTCCTCAACCCTGCAGTTCTGGTTCTGTCCTCTCTGCCCCTGATAGTGTTTCCCTAAGGGGCTAGTGACTTTCGTGTATTCCCAAAAGCAATGTGGTAAATAAGAATGTGGCTATAAATAGTGCTGATCCATGAGGTCATTGCAAGGATTAAATAAGATAATGCACACAGATCATTAGCACAGTGCCTGGGACACTGCAAGAGCTCGGAAACTATTCACTGCTGTTACTGTGTTGTTATTGTATGTTTATCACTTATTTCACAACTGCCTCTACTTGGCTGCCTCACCCATTATCCACAAAGGCAGGGACTGAATTCTTTATTGTCATAGTCCCCGGGACTAGCACAATGCCTGGTATAAGCTGGGACTTGGTGCCTCTTGGAGAGATGGATGGTGGGCCCTTAGGTTACATGGCCTCTGGGGGCAGTCTGACCTCATCCTCCACATTAGACTCTCTGGGTGGGAGCGTTTGCCTCTTGCAGCAGCTTCTTTTGTCGGCTTCCCTTCTCTCCTGCACCTCCCATGCCGCCTCTCTCCTCCCCTCCATCCTCCACATTAGGTACAGGCTGTCAGCAGCGTCGCTGGGAGCCTGTCAGCAGGAGCCCAGGCACTGCCCCCTTGAGGGCCTCTGGCTCAGCCTCTCCTCTCCTCCTTCAGCACAGGCCTCCCTGCCTGTCATACATGTCATGTGTGTGGCTCCAGCCTGTCTGGACACAGATGTGGCCACAATTCCTAAGCAGACAGAGGGGCAGTAGCTGGCAGCATTTCAGACCCAGGAGGGGTGGGGTGGCTGTGAACAGTGGCGGCATCTCTGGAAGTCTGGCCCTTTGGAGCAGGGAGATTAAAGTGTCCATGAGGAGCCACACAGAGGCAGCCCCAGACCTCCACAGATGAGGGGCACATTGGCCTGGATTGACCCTGGAAGTTGCACACTGTGGAGGCTGTCACCCCAAGCCAGTCTTCCCACTGGCAGCCCACAGGCATTTACCCAGCACCTGGCTCTGTGCTAGGAATGCCACACAGCCTGGTGGAACCAGTGACATCCTGGAAGGCTTGGTCAGCTTGGTGTGACTCAAGGAAGGCTTCAGGGAGGTAGAGATGCTGGAGTCAGGCTTATGGAGTAAGCAGAAATTTAGCACGTGACTGAGAAGGGGAAGAGAATTCTAGGCAAAGGGAACGGTAGCATGAAGTCAGGGAGGTGTTGGGAGCCTGGCAGATTCTAGAAACTGTAAGTAGTTGGATAAGCCAGAGACCTGAGAAAGGGACAGGAATGGAGGTATCTAGGTAGGACTGGAGAGGTAGACAGGAGCCAGATGACTGTGTAAACCATTCTAAAGAGCTTAAACTTTATCCTCTAGGGAACAATTGCTGTTGGTAGAAACTCAATATCAAACTAATTCAAGCCAAAAAGGAAAGATATGAGTTTACACAGCTAAGCTCAGAAGCTGAACTTTCAGGCCCACCTGAATTTAAGGTTCACACCGAATCTTTCTCCCTGTTCCTTATGGGCTTTCCTCTGAGTCTAACTGTCCTACAGCTAGCTTTGGCCATGTAGCTGTAGAAGATGGTCCCAAGTATTCTAGGCCTGGGGATGGCAAGTTTTTTTTCCTTAAAGGACAGCCAGTAGATATTTTCAGTTTTGTGGTCCTAATAGTTTCCATCACAACTGTTCAACTCAGCAATTATATCATGAAAGCAGCCATAGTCATAGTGGAAATGAGTGGACATGGTCATGTTCCAGTGAAACACTGTAGGCACAGAGCAGATAGCCAGGAGGCTGTAGTTTGCTCATCCCTCTTCTAGGCTCACATGATCATTGTAGTTTACTCTCTTAAAAGAATAGAGGGATTCCCACTTCCCCCCAGTGTCTAAATGTGAAATTAGAGAGAAGAACCATGCCTCACACTTATGTCAGGTGCCTGTTCATGACTTACTGAGAAGTGGTCTGCTGGTTGGTTAGCCTGGGATGCGTGCCCATCCCAAAAGCAGTGGGGTAGAGTCAGCTCAACCAGGATTATCCAGAATGAAAAATGAGAAGCCAGGGCAGCAGAAGGAGTGAGAGACAGACATCCACTGCAAGGTGCCAGCAAGAAAGAGCATGAACTGAGTGCCTGAAGTCACCAGTGATGATGCAGCTTGAAATTGGTCCTGACACAGCCTCAGGGCGCCAGGCCAGCCCTGCAGTGCTGACACATGCCCTGGCCCGCCTACCCCCGCCCCCCCCCCCCCCCCCCCCCCCCCCCCCGCCCCGCGCAGTGTCTGCGCCTCAGCTGCTGCATCACGCCCATCAGGATGCACTTGCCCACTCATTCCTTCCTCACACACTGCTCCACCCTCCCAGGTGGGACTAGAGGGCAGAGTCCCTGCAGGCAGGACCAGACAGAAGCCCCTCCGTCCTTGCTGCACCCTGGCCAGCCTCAGCAATAGCTGTCCTCCCCTTGAATGGGTGATTGCTGGGTTTCTCTTCCGTCTGGCGTTGTCTGTGCCACCCTCTGCTCAAATACCTCCTCAGCATTCTCCTACCCAAGTTATTTATCTTTCAAGGCCCAGCTCACTTGTTTCATCATCATCTTCAAGAAGCCTTTCCTGTATGCCCAGAATATTCCATGACCTTTAAATCCCTTATGATTCCAAAATATAGGCTGTGAAGACCTATTTCCTTCTGGTCATTTCCCTGTCTCCAC